GCTCGTAGCGAGTAGAAAAGAAGTCGTAGGTGAAAGGTGAAAGTGGCGTGTCACTACAGCTCCATTGACCGTGGCCATCTCCTGTACTGTGCAAACGGTGCAAACGCAGATCAAAAAGAAAACTTTGAAAACCTCCAAGATTCGAGACCATCTTGCTTAGCCTCGCACCCGTATAATAGTTCAAGACTTCCAGAGGTAACTAAGCCGGACCAAGCTGTTTGATGCGATCAACGTTGCTACGGTTAGTGCAAGCCCCGCGCACTATAAATGATCAAATAAATGGATTTGATTAAATCTCGAGTGGACTATAAAAGTAGCTATTTGCTATGATTTGCTGAAATCCTCTTCACAGCTTTAATCCGAAACTGTTTCGTGAAGTTTGATGGCAAATATAATTCCCGTAAAACGTGTTTTCGTTGGGATTGACATTTAATGTCTCAGCTCATTGCAGAATCTCCACCGATTGCGTATATCGGAGACGAAAATGAAGACAACAGTGATCAAGTGTTTTCTTCGTCGGAAGAAGAGGAAGAAAATGAGGGAGGAACTAAAGATTTGTCGGAATTTTCCGAGAGACCTGTCCTGGGGTTAATCGATGAAGAAAACCTACTTGTTCTTCCACCTGAGGGTTACGGTGAAGGAAGCGATAATGAACAGGCTGAAGGTGACAATACTTATGAGAAAGATCAAGGTTATTCTAATTTTACATCCTTTGAAATGGATTGGATTTCTTGTTCAGAGCCATCACGCACGGAATCACCGTCGCACAATCTCGAGTCAGATTCCATAAATTCCCTGCGTTCCAAGAAAAGACGAAGAAAAAAGTAAGATGAGAATTTGACCCTTACAATTATAAGTTTAGAATTTATACCGTCAACTTGAGTAATTGTAAATACGAATCAGGTAAGTTGACCTAATTTTCAACCTCGATTAATGAGCATGAATGCGTATAAAACGATAATGACATGCTATTTTAAAGCAAGGTAAGTAGAAACGCACTTATAGAGCTATAAGTGATTTGTGTATTTTTTCCTTATTGGTAACAAAAATCGACTTTTGTCATATGCTCTGACCCTGCAGGGGTCCAGAAAATGACTACAGTAGGAGTTTTTATAGAGACTTTGGGTGTAATCCTATATGAGTCTCAAAGCCGCCGCTCAGTGGCATGACTTAAATTGACCTGTTTTGCCACCCAGGCTCCAGGAGGTTGTTTAGCCGGAGCTTGAACAATTGATGTTTTTTCTCGGACACATCATTTGATAGCACATTCCACATGTTAGTTCTCCACAGTGATAGGCGGCAAACCAACGGAAGATCTACCCAGTGCCATTTTAGCAGGGTTAGCGCTTGTTCCCTTTTGAGACTGTAATCTATAAGCGAGAACCGAATGCAGTTCCCAGACCAGATCTCCGCGAATTATGCGTCTTTTACAGATCACGTCTATTCTCGTCCTGTAAGCCAATGGGAATGGTCCAGTAACTTGCAAGCATCCCTAGTTGATCCCACGCATCGCAAAAGCGAGGCGTGTGGCGCCCCCACTTTTCCTTCGAAGTAACAGTGTAAGTTTTTACCCACTAATGATTAGCGTGCTTCATTGCTTTTTTTTCTCATAGAGAAAGAAAATGGTAAAAGCATTTCATTGTGCGCACAATCGCGGCGAGAGATATCATTATAGGTTATAGCTTACTCATCCGGCCACATAACAACGCACCTAACACACACTAATTCATGCCTCTCATACATATACATGTACTTGTTTACTGTTTTCATCCTCACGGTAAACAGGCTATAGGCTTATACCTCGGAAGTGAATTTATCCCATTGGAATCTTGTTTTTTCTAATACCTGGACGTTCCGCAGTTATTTGAGATCCATGGCCATTTTTAACATTTTGTATCCAGTCGCTAAAACTATTAAGCTTGGTGATGGACCTACAATAAACCTTTTCTAATCAGGTCTCAAGACCTGGTAACCCGTTCATCTTCGTAAGCTTGTCTATTTCTCCTCTGAAGAACAAAGTTCGCTATAATAAAGCCTTTGCTTCAAGTCCTCTCTATTGTCTTTTTACCATTTTTGTTGCCCGTCACCTAACTATCTTTAAACAGGCCAAATTCTCGTAAAAGTGAAAATATTTTAGCTGAGGTCTGTTATATCCCATGTAATTCAAAGATGTAGCGTATATGTCGTTCTTGTACAGATATAACTTCTTGGTAGTTTATTTATTTTCTATACTTGTATGTGTTGTTCAATGCATATAAACACGCACCTTCTTTTAGTTCAAGTATAAGAAGTTGAACTCGTAGCACGAACTTCCGCAGTTTGATTCCCACCAAGGACACCTGTGTAAGCATAATCACCAAAAAGTAAGAAAATAGACCTCACTTATTTGTTCATCCACATCCGTAGTAAGTACTCCTTCAAAGCTGCTTGAACGCAGCGTAAGTCGCCTTCTCCGCTACTGCTAGAACCGAATTCCAGAGAGATATTCATCCTTGAAAGTCGCCTGACCAACTCCAGGTCGACTGATCAAAGCCTGGGCATCATGAGAGTCCCCGTTTTGTGTTGATGAATTTCAGGGTCCAAGTTAACCCTCGGTTTCTGTAAGACGCATAATACCTCATCTCATGCGGTGGTATGCGACTGAAAACCGATCCGCGACCTTAAGATGACCTTTGTAGCTAGTCCGATAACTAGTTTAGTATGCTGTACATCCTCCAAACGGGCCAAAACTGCACCATTACAGGGGTAGGTCGCTGCATCGTCTTCCTTAAGCCTCAGTCTGTCGGAGGATTCGTACAGAAACCTTGATTCATTCGGTGTTTGTCGGCCAAAAATATCCTGATAGTTACCAGGATCCCCTTTATCGGTGTTACCAAGGAGTTTTGCTTCCGGAAGCTGCAGAGTACCTTCGACTTATAACACATCAGGTGCGGGAAAGCAAACATCAAAATTATCTTAGACGGCCCAGAAGTTTTCCCACATCGGCATCAACTTTAGGTTATTCGGCGGCAGCATAAAATCCTCAGAACTCAGGCCATGCGCTGAAATTCACTGCCAGAGTGTAGGTGGGATACCAAGAGGGTCACATCTGGGCAACACGGACATAAAAAGGAATGTCGGTTGTGAAGGGCTGTAGTCATCGTAGCGGGTGATTTTCAACTTCAAGATTCGCCAGCCTCTCCAAGAGTTGGATTGAAGTACTTGGTCAAACACTTTTCTGGTGTCCTCAAAGTTTAGGTCCATTCACGCTCTTTAACCTTATAATTAGTCCAATGAGTTCAGACGAGGAGAAAAAAGCTTTTAGATGCTCTTTGACGGCTGTTTAACAAATTCCTTTCAACATCNGGGAACAAAGGAACAAGAAGACGTGAACATTATATCGGTGAACAAAGACATCTTTGGTGCATTTAAGGAGGTTACTTTTCTTTCCAAAAAATAATACTGTTAAAATGATTGAATTCAGTGTTTCAAACTCGATGGAAATAGGTACTCTGAGTATTCATATTGGCTTTCCAATAGTTGATACCTCTGAAAAAGTTACATTTCAAAATTAAAAAGGTACAATGATTCACCGGATGCCATTTCCTTGCATCAATAGTTCGACGAGTCCTTCGACGATTCGGATTTCGTGAAGTGGATGAAGATGAGGACTGGAATCTCTACTGGACTGACTTTTCCGTCTCTCTCGACCGAGTCGTTGTGATGAAAACTTGGCAAGTTAGTGCCCCGTTTTAATAATCTTTTAACTGTGATATTAATTAAATGCTTAAGAGCATGCATGAAATTTATCCAACAATAGCAAAGCCAAGTTGTTTTTAATACGAATTTTGCAACTGTTGCTTGTAAATACCTAAGTACGTATGAAAGAAGTATTAACCTCCGATTCAGTCTGTTTCTCATCATGCTTGTTCGCATGCTGATGACATGTAACGAGTAGTATATGAATGACTAGACGAAATTTCCCGGGAACGCGTGACCAGTTCCGCGGTCCTTGCCGCTCGTCAGGTATGCATATCTGGCAGTCTTCTGTCTGGTCATTTTTATACTTTAAACTCCCGATGTGATTTATGCAGTGCAAATCTTATTTACAACTTGGGGAGTTGATTTGACTCACAAGTTTTGAAGGCTTATTGCCATGATTCTGTATCATGTGTTTTGGGTTAGATTCTTCTAACGTCGACCAACTTGGCGCTAGGGCCGATTTTCAATGATTTTATAATGAATAATATATGAAATACAAATGAGATTTATATATATATATATATATAGAGAGAGAGAGAGAGAGACAATAAGCATCCGACTCATAAAGCCTGGGCTGTGTGCCCAATGAAAACTAATTCAAGCTCAAACTCCCCTGAACGAGGGATGAAACTCGCCTATTGACATGAGCATGACAAAACATTGCGAATTTTGGTTGTGCAATCTAAACAATGTACAAATTTGGAGTTCTCTCGGGCTCATTTACAAGACCTTTCTTTTTGATCCTATTGAAAGTTTTCCATGTAAATGTAATTGTTAAGTTGGAAATGTTTTGATAACCGACAAAGAGCACTAGATAGCTGTTTCGTCCTGTTTGGTACTCGTCAGCAGTGTGTACTTATTGTGTCCCTGTCAGGACCCGAACCGCGAACCTTCGGCCTGGGACTTCAAATCCTTACCCCTGAGCTACACGGTCGACGTCTATCACCTTGTGCGAATGACTCCAGCATATTAGACAGATAATGTTTGTATTATACCATTCGATTTTTCACGAGTACCAAGCACTGTTATAATGTCGTGTATGAGTTTTACTTCTTGGGAGATCGTTAATTTCCTACTAGTTAAATGCATCGAAGCTTCGCATCATCGATGTAGTGAACACTTGCATCAACCTGTAAAAAACNAAAGCATTCCAATAGACCGTGTTCACGAAAAATTGAATTGGGGGGTTACAAAATTTGGGCATTTTACCGTGACCTAATTGTATTGTATTGTATTGTATTCAAGCTTTAGCGAGTTATATACACGCTTTCAGCCAAAAAATAGAGCACCGTAAGAATTCTGGTAAAACAGGGGAAAAAGTTAGTTGTGCAACCTACGAAAATATGATTTAATTACTAAATGCAACAGAAAGCTCATAATAAACACTTTCCTTGTCGGTCAGTATCCGGGAAAGATAGGGTACCAAAGAGTTTCTGTATGCGAATATGCGAGACGAGATAAGTTTGTACTTGGAACGGATGGAGGGGTGGGATTTGCATGCATACAAGTCAGTGTGTAGAGGATGGGTGCAATCAGATAGGATATTGTCAGCAAGCTTTAAACATGCATCAGTATGAGCATTACACATATTGCCAATCGGAACAGATAACGGAACTTGGGAGACACGGCTGATCACTGAGAGGTCACGCCTCAGCAACTTAAAATCAGCCTTCAGCAAACCAGGGAAAATTACTGGGGAGCAGTACAGGGGTATAGGGAAGACGCATTGTTAAACGAAAGCGTTTATCACCGACGAGTCAGAACAGAAGTGGCGCAGTCTTCCTATCTGAAAAAAGAGAACTTTTAACTTGCGAGCAACAGTTTGGGTATGTAAGGACCAGCGAAGGTTACTTTCAAGTGTGACACCTAAGTACTTCACATGACTGACCCTGCTCATCGGCTTCCATGAATATGGACATTGTCGGAGGGCGATGGGGTACGGTTTAGAGTAAAAATACATTCAAGACATTTTTCAGGATTACGATTTAGACCGGAAAAAGTAGAATATGAAACGAGGTGGGATAGGTTCGTTTTATATTCAACCAGCTGTGATTGGTTAGATAGGGAAACAAAAATGGCGATATCATCAGCACACTTAAAATGTCGAACAGGGGGAGTAACAGCTAAGTCACGAATAGAAGTCGAAAAAGATAGGGTGATAGGACAACACCTTGAAGTACACCCGAGATATTCATTGATGCGGTTGACTGTCTTCTTCCCCATTTAACATACTGATATCTTTGCGAAAAGTAATCAGCAAGCCATTCAAAAAGAAAAGCGGGACAGCCAAAAGATTGGATTTTGTTAAGTAAAAGAGAACGGGGCACCGAGATGAAAGCGGAAGAATAGTCCAGAAATGCACAATGCACATATTTGGCTTTCTCGTTAAGGGAGTTACAGATGAAATAAAATACAGAGGAAACGGTATCTAATGTAGAGCGGTTCTATTTGTATGCAAACTGATAAATGTCATCGGGAGTGGTAAGGGATCACTGAAGATGATGCAGAATCGATCGCTCCATCAATTTGAAACCAGTGGAAGTGAGAGCAATTGGTCTGAAACGCTTCACTATTGGGGCCTTAGACGTACCTTTGGGGAAGAGAGTATTTCTTACTGGGCGTCAGCAGTCCGGAATACATTACTAAAAGTTAATGGAAGATTCCCATAAGAATATCAAAAGACAAACAATATAATGAACAAGCTTCTTCCCGTAACTTCGTCTTCAGGCATTTGCAGTTATATGATTATATATATAATATAGAAATAAAGGTGAATAGTCCATTGAGGTTAAATGTGGAATTACAACAATGTCTGTCAAGTTTATTCGGAGCAAATGGAGGAGGGAGAAAGGGAAGGGGACCGAGGTCGATTCTGAAAATTTCCAATGACGTTTGTTCACGTGCTAGTTGTCACGCTATGTTGCGTCATTACGACATGATTGGGGTCATGGTTTGAATCGTTACGTTGATTTGAGCGGCGTCAAGGCAACTGGAGTGCGGCAACCATTTTCTTCTGTTTTGACAGTGGTGAGTTCATGATTTTGATTGCTACAGCTTCTGCCGTTGCTAGATGACGTTGCCGAACATACTTCGGCTTGTTTTGGGGCACTTTGTAAATGTAATTTCACATTTTACTTCAATGAACTAATCACATTTATTTCCATATTATATATAAACACACAACTGTAAATGCCTGAAGACGAAGTTACGAAAAAAGCTTGTTTGCTATATTGTTTGTCTTTTAATAAAAGTTCTTAGTTAAACGGACCAAATTGGACTTCGTTCGTTTTAAGTTGAAGTAGTCTAACAACTGTTTTCCGCACGTAGTACTTACGTTTAAAGCGGTTATTTTCCCCATTCTCTCTTCGTTTGCAGAAAATTAATCACTTTCCCGGAATGTCCGAAATTTGTCGCAAAGATTCATTGGCACGAAATTTGAATCGCATGCTCAAAGCTTTCCCTAAAGATTACAACATTTTCCCTAAAACTTGGTGTTTGCCATCTGAGTGAGTTTCTTATTTGCCATCTTGATAAGGCTGAAAGTGGAAATGTACTGATTATAGTTTAGGCCACCACATGATCAGACAT